GAGGTCTTTTCCTGCTCTAAATCTATTATCCTCTGTTCCTCAGGCTTAGATCCCAGGTTGCCAAGAGAGCAATGGATGGGACTATTTACCTGCTGTTAATCTGACAGTAGGAAAGACAAAGAGGGTCCTTACATCAAAGCTTCTTCCTCTTCCTATATAACAGTGAGAAGCAGTAAGGGCATTAGGAGGATACTCAGTCATGGAGACTGACCTGGGCTTAGCGGAGGTCAGCCAGGATGGTGAGTGAGTGGACAACCATGTCATATGAGGATTTGTAGATAGAACTGTGAATGTTTAGAACAGAAAAGGACATGATGGATAGTTACAGATAGATATATATGTGTGTGTGTGCGTGTGTGTGTGTGTGTGTGTGTGTGTGTGTGTGTGTGTGTGTGTATATGTATGTATTTATATACAGATATTTACCTAGAGATTGTCATGGGGAAGAGGAATGAAACTTTTCTTGGGCCCCAAGGGGCAGAATTAGGAATGATGGGTAGAATATACAGAGAGGCAGATTTCAGTTCAATGAAAGGAAAAGTTTTTTTTTCAAAATTAGATTTTTTTTGTTGCTATCTTTTGTTTTACATTATCTTGATTTTCTTTTTTTTCCTTTTTTTTTGGAGGGAGTACCTGCATTATCTTGATTTTCCTCAGTGTCCCTCTTCCTCCCCCTTCTCAGAGACCCATCCCTAATAACAAAGAAATTTTTGAAAAGGAAAAAAAAATAATTAAAAAATTTTAAAACAGTTTAATACATCAAAATATAGTAACATATGCCATATTTAACTCCTGTAGATCCCCCACCTCTACAAAGGATGAGGAGGGGTAAGGAGGAAGGCAACTTCTCATAGCTCTTCTATTGAGCCAAGCTCGGTCTTTCTCATTTTGTAAGATTCCCTTTCCACAGTTTTGTGGTTGTTTCTTCTGTTTACACTGTCATGGCCATTGGGTATATCCTTCTTCCAAGTCTGCCTACTTCTCTCTTTGAGAAGCTCACCATCCTCACCTTTGTCTCTTAGCATCTCCAGCTTCAATCAAAGCTCAAGCTCCATCTCCTATGAGAAGCCAGGAATAAGCACTGGCCCCCTCAATATTCTCCCGTGTATTATTTTGTTTGGGTTTTGCATGTTCTATTCCTTTATCTATGTGCCGGGTGTTTTTCTTCCACTCTAGCACCCCCCTCCCCCAGTAGAATGTGAAATCCTTGAGACCAGGGACTGTTTTTGTTGTCACATCCCATGGACAAAGTGACTTAACAAATGGTTATTGAACAAGTGGATAATAACAACGATCACTTTAGATTCATGTTGTGCCATAAAGTTGTAAAAGCATTTTCTTCACAACAAAATTTGTGAGGTAGATAGAGCTATTTCTTGTTTTCATTTTTTCAAATTTTGTTGATTTATTTTGTTTTTATGTCATCTTTATTTTTAGTAAATCCCTACCCAGAGATCCATCCCTTGTACCAAGATTACAAAAAAAAAAAAGCTGTTTGGTGAAACCAATCAACCAACCATGGGCCATAGCTGACAGTAGCACAATGTTCCACACCCCCAGCCTCCCACTTGTGTTGTGAAGGGAGGGGCATGTACTTTCTCAACCCTTTTAGGGCCAAACTTATTCATTAAATTGTTTAGCAGAACAATTATCATCACCCCCCCCCTTTTAACTGATGAAGAAACTGAAGCTCAGACATGTTGCATGACTTGGTCAAGGTAACACAGTGAGTCATAGCGGGGACTGGAACCTAGGGCTCTTTCCATGAGAACCACAGTTTCTTCTCACAAACAGCTTCTGGTGATGATGGAGGTTTCCTCATAACAACCTGGAGGTAGGCCATGCTAATGTCATCATCCCTATTTTATGGAGGAGGAAATAGGCTCAGGAAGGACATTGGCTTGTCCCAGGTCACCCAGCTAGCCCAGGACTTAGAATTTAGGACTCCAAGCATTGCCACAAATGTAGCTGTTAAGTGGCCCAGGCAAGACTCAGCGCCAGGCTCTGCTTCCCAAAGGCAAAGCTGTTAGTTCAGTGGTGGGGTACAGACCTGATGGTGTTGGCTGCTTCCTCCAGAAGGTGATGCAGGGGTAGACTCAGCTAATACAGGGGAGGTATTCAGCTCAGCAAGAGGGCTAGAGAGCCTTCTCCTCAGACAATGGTTAACATTCCTGCCAATAAGTGACCTACCCAGGCTCACATTCTTTCTGGGTGAGGGAAAAGCAAGATCTCCTCACTTAATCTCTTGTCCCTCTGGCCCGTACACTGTATTCTTTTTTTTTTTTTAGTTCAATTCATAAGCTTCCTAGAACTCCTCTCACCCCCATCAATCCTTGGCTCTTTGGGCCAGTCTGTCCTTCCTGAGATGGGATTTATCTTCCTCCCCCAAAGTTCTTTTATCTTATTTCTTTTCCATAAATACAGAGGAAGAGAATTTCTAAGTCTGGGGGTGGGGAGGGAGGGATGGAGGAAGGATAGAGACAAAGAGAGAGAGAGGGAGAGATAGAGATAAAGGGAGGAGAGAGACAGTAAAGACAAAAATAGTGAGAGAAGACAGAGACAGTGAGAGAGATAAAGAGAGGGAGGAGAGAGACAGACAGAGACAAAGACAGTGAGAGAGACAGAGACAGACAGAGGGCAGAGAGAGACAGTAGAGACAAAAACAGTGAGAGAAGAGGCAGAGACAGTGAGAGAGAAATAAAGAGAGGGAGGAGAGAGACAGAGACAAAGAGTGAGAGATACAGAGACAGAGGGAGGAGAGAGACAGAGACAAAGACAGTGACAGAAACAGATCAAGGAAAGAAAGAGGCAGAGAGGAGGCAGAGACAGAGACAGTGAACAAGAGAGAGAGAAACAGAGAGGGAGGAGAGAGACAAATAATGAGAGAGGAGAGACAGACAGAGACAGAGAAACAGAAACAGAGCCTGAGACAGACACAGAAAGACTAAATCTTAGTCTACAGTGACTGGAAAGAGCATTAACCCTGAACGTCGAGGACCTGATTTCAAATCTCACCTCTGTTGTTATGTGACCATGGACAAACCATTAACCTTCTCTGGCCTCATTTCCTCTTTTGTGGTATGAAGGGCCAGACCAGCTGCCTCAGAGGTCCCTGTCAGCTCTGGATCTAGGTTCCCATAATTGGAAGTCAGGTTCCATGTTCATATGTCGGCTCTGTGACCTTAGGCAAATCACTAATCATCTATATGGCTACCAAAGTTCTTTCTTGGTGGGAGCGCCTGCGTCCCCGGCTGCGCTCTGATGCCGGCAGAGTGTGAAGAGAGAAAGAAACACGGGCCAGGTGAGAGCAGTGAAGAACAAGCTCTGTTTATTGATCTGAGGGCTCAGGCTTACATAGTACTGTATCAAGCAACAGTAACATTGTTATTCATGAAAAGTACAAACCTAATTAGGTGATTTCCTTACTTCCTTGTACCTTGTCTGTTACATTCTTTCCTGCGTCCTGTCCTGTACCCCATCCCGTTTCCTCCCTTCCTGCATCCTGTTTTCAAGAGACAGAACAGGGGGGTGGTCAGCCGACATCCTGAGTTTCACAGCTGTCGGGCTTAGTACAAGCTGCAGGTAAGACCCGGGCTGGCCTAAGCCTTCCAACTCCCCAAAGCCGGCCCTCTCCACTTTCTAATGCAGAGATTTGATGACTCTGGTTGAGATGAGAGAGAGGTTCCCATAAGTCTCTTCATGGCTCTGAGCCTCACCTTCGTCATCTACAAAATCCCGACATTTGTTCTGCTCAGCTCAGCTCAGAGGATGTTAGGAAGCTCAAAGAGGCACTGTTTGGGTTTGGATATTGTCAGCGTGGGTGAGGCTCCATCCAACAAAGCAATCCCTCTGTGTCGGCAGACAGTCCTCAAGAACTATTGTGGCCAAAAGACTCATCCCCTACCCTCACCCCTGAAGCCGAAGTGGGGTGTTTCAAAAACTGTCATTCAGCAGACGTACTCAAAACCTCCTCCTCCTCCTCCTCTTCTTCCTTCTCCTTTTCTCCTCCTCCTCTTCTTCCTCTTCTTCCTCCTTCTTCTTCTCCCCCTCCTCCCTCCTCCCCCTCTTCTGCTTCCTCCTCTTCCTCCTCCCTTATCTTGCTAGAAGTTCCAGTGGCCTCTCAGGGGCCCTACCTCACCACTAATCAGTGCAGGAGCTTAGACCTGCTGTTTCTAACCTGTATTAGTTTTAGGCAATGTGAGGGAGCCCTGAGATTCCTATGGGCTCACCAAATTAATACCAATTGGCTTATCCCACGGTAGCTCAGAACTTCCAAGCTCAAGAGATCCACCTGCCTCAAACCTCCCTGTTGTAGGACACAAGAGCCAGCAAGCCTCTCCTTGGTTGACAAGCTGCAATGGCTTTGAGGACAGATTCAGAGAAGGGTTTCTAATGTCTGAGATGATTTTTGCCTTTCTTTGTATCACTGGTTCTCAGAATAGTGCCTGGCACACAGTAAATGTTTAATACGTGCTTGTCAGCTGACTGATTGACTAAGTGCAAAGATGCTCATCACCAGAAGATTGGCCACCAGATGACAATTTTTTTTTTGGCCTTAGCAACTCATGAAGACTAAAAAGAAATTGCTATCTGCCCTAGTGGAGGGCAAAGAAAGCACCGATGTCTCCCAAAGAACTGAAGATGTCTTTTCTACCCAGTTAGATTACAAATTCTCTGAGGGCAGGATCAAATCTTTTTCTGTTTCCCCTACAGAATATCTGATTATTGGATTAGGTACACGATAATGGGGTGATGAAATGAAATGAATGTGATGCAACATGACTAATGTGGAAATATGTTTCCGTGACTGAACATGTATAAACTGTATCAGATTGTTTGCCTTCGGGGTGGGGAAAGGGAGAAAAATTTGGAACTCATAATCTTGTAAAAATGAATGTTGAAAACTATCTTTACATGTAATTGGAAAAAATAAAATGCTATTTATACAAAAAAAGAGAACATGATGGCTAGTTGACCCACACCTGTACTTTCCCCTGTAGAGTCCCTGTGGACCACATCGGCTGATGGGCTGGTCAAGATCCGGATGGACCACACCTGCTCACAAACCCCAAAGACTGTGCACCAGGTATTCCTAGAGAGTCTGGAGAAGTATGGAAATCTGACCTCCTTGAGCAGCAAACGGGATGGGAAATGGGAGAGGATCACCTACTCTCAGTACTACCTTCTCTCCCGAAAAGCTGCCAAAGGTTTTTTGAAGGTAAGTGAGAAAAGGGCAGGGGTGGGGACCTCCTAGCAGCTGCTCTGGTTGGGTTTTGAGAATGTCTCTATAAAAACATGTGTCCTCACTTACTCCAGGATAGTGAAGGAAGTAGAGACACAGGAATGGGCTGAAGGAACTGGAAATCTTTTACCTGAAAGGGGGAAGACTTAGATGGGACATGATAGCTGTCTTCAAGGGTTTGAAGAGTTGTTGCAGAAAATAAAATACATAGGATTACAAAGGAAATAAATATGCTGAAATACAGTTATCAAAAATTTTTTAAAACCATACAAACAGACAAGTTCAGGACCCTAGGTTAAGACCCCTACTCTATAGAAAGGGAAGTCCTTTAGGCCCAGCTCTGTAATAATAATTTTGGGAAGGGGAGGGGCAAACTTATAATCTCAATGGTTTAGGAGATTCCTAATGAGGAACCTCCCTGTACCAATGAAGGCTAGCATGTGTTCTTAAACTTAATAGTGTCGGAGGTTTGCTTGGCACACTGAGAGGATAGGAGACTTCCCATAGTCACACGTGCATCAGAGATAGGACTTTTACCCTGGCTAGCTCTCAATCCATGGCACAAGGCTGCTTCTGGTCATAATAACATGTCATTACCAGTATCCATTAATAAGTGCTTCTTAGGCCTCTATGCTTATGGGCTAAGCACTGTCCTAGAGACTGATGACACAAAGCCAGAAATAAAGCAGTAAGTCCCGTCAGTGAACAAACATTTATTAAGCACCTACCATAGGCCAGCACAAGGGATACAAAGAAAGGCACAGTAAAAAAAAAAAGTCCCTGCCCTCAGAAAGCTTACATTTTAACGGGGAGACTACATATAAATGACTAGGTACTTACAAGATATATACAAGAAGATGGAAAGGTGTTAGCATCTAGGGCACTGGGAAGGGCATCCTGCAGAACCAGGAATCTGAACTGCCTCTGAAGGAAGCCAAGGAAACAGAGTCAGAGGTGACGGGGCAGGGCATCCCAGGAATGATGGGCAGCCAGGGAAAAGGCATGGATGGGGAAGTCTTGTGCAGGGAACAGTGAGGACACTTTTTTTAATTGTTTATTTATTTTAAACATTCTTTTTAAATTTTGAGTTCCAAATTTTCTCCTTCCCTCCCACTGCCTCCCACACTCACTGAAAAGGCAAGCAATATACACGTGAAATCATGCAAAACATTTCCACATTAGCCATATTGCCCCCACCCCCCAAAAAAAAACAAACAAAAAAAGAGAGAAAATTATACTTCAATTTGTGCTCAGAATTCATCTGTGACCTCGCTGGAGGTGGAGAGTATTTTTTGGAATTGTCTTGGAACATTGTATTTGGTCAGAGTAACCAAGTGTTCCACAGTTGATCATTGTTACAATATTGCTGTTGTTCTCCAGGATGATTGCTGGTTCTTCTCACTTCACCTTGCAGCAGTTCATACAGGTTTTGCCACATTTTTCTGAAACCACCACCCTGGTCATTTTTTCTAACACAACAGTATTCCATCACAATCTTATGCCATAGGCTCAGCTAGGTGGCACAGTGGATAGAGCGCCATCCTTGAAGTCAGGAGGAGCTGAGTTCAAATGCAGCCTCAGACTAAACACTTGATACTTACTAGCTGTGTGATTCTGAGCAAGTCACTTAACCCCCAATGGCCTAAAAAAATAAAAATTAAAAAAAATCGTATGCTATAACTTGTTCAGCATTCCCCAATTGATGGGTATCCCTTCAATTTCCAGTTTTCTACCACAAAAAGAGCTGCTATAAATATTTTTGTATGTATAGGTTCTTCGCCTTTTCCTTTGCTTGCAGAGTGCATTCTTAAAAGAGAGGCAGTAACCTCCAGTGGAAAGAGCCCTGGCTTAGAATCAAGAGACCTGGGTTCCTACCCCAGTTCTAGAACTTCTTAGTTATGTTACCTATACAAGATTATCCAGGGACATTCCTCAGTATTCTCATAGGCTACCATAGAACTACAGATAGGGAAGGCACTTCCAAGGCCAACCAGGTCTTTGTTTCTTTCTTTTTGGGAGGTGGGGAGTGAGGGCAATTAGGGGTTAAGTGACTTGCCCAGAATCACACAGCTAGTGAGTGTTGTGTGTCTGAGGTCGGATTTGAACTCAGGTTCTCCTGACTCCAGGGCCAGTGCTCTATGCACTGTGCCACCTAGCTGCCCCTAAGGGCAATCAGTTTAACTGATACTTGAACACAACTTCCCTATTCAATATCTCTGACAAGTGGGTGTCCGCTTAAAGATTCCCAGAAATGGGAAATTGAGTTCTCTCTTCGGCAGCAGCTTGTGGGCAGCTCATTATTGGGAAGGTTTTTGTTGTCCTGGGCTGGGGTTTGCTATAGCTACCACCTGCTGCTACTGGTTATGGCCTTTGAGGCCAAGCAAAATGCAAACATCTTCCAGATGTTGATTCTTCAAATACCCACCCAAGTCTTCTCCAGCTTAAATGTCCTGTCAAATATCTTCACTAACTATTCCTTTAATAACATATGCTAGAAAATTCTAGAAATAGTAAGGGGTCGTATTGGTAGACCACTGAGTCTAGAGTTGGGAGAACCTGAGTTCAAATCCCACCTTAGACACTTACTAGATTTATGACCCTAGGAAGTCACTTAATCTCCATCTGCCTCAATTTCCTCATCTATAAAATGGGGTTAATATTAGCGCCTACCTCTCAGGATTGTTATGAAGATAAAATTAGATAATATCTGCAAACCTTAAAGCATTATATAAATGCTAGCTATTATTCCTATTGTTACTAGAATTTTGATAAGAACAGAAATCAAGTTCCCTGGTATAAAGCTTGCAGACTCCACTGTGTACCCTTTCAAAAACAAAATGGGCTATGTATCCTCCAGGCCTGAGATACTGCTCCCAGACCCCATGAATTTTTAAAGATCACAGACAATCACTTAGAAATCATGGCTGCTAGTTCTCTCAGCATCTAGGAATGCTGTCTGACCAGGCCTGGTGACTTGAATTCATTGAGGACAGCTAGGTGTTTTCTTACTCCCTCTTATCTTTGTTTCCATCGCCTTGTAAAAAAAAAAAAGGTTTTGCTCAATCCTTCACAGCCCAAAGATCATTCTCCTTAGAAAAGTGAGGGAAAGCATAAGGGATTGAGTAATTCATCCTTCTGAGGGTCAACCGTCACCACAGCCATTGTGAAGATCAGACCTATCCATTCTTGGGTTCTATCACTCACACTAAAGTTTTGGAAAAAAGAAGACTACCTTTGGTACCTCAGAGCTGTTTTTTTCCTTCACTTAACTTGTTGAAATTCCTGCAGGACTATGCTGCTTTTTTGTGTTCATCCTCAATTACATGGCCCTGTTTCCATCTTCTAAGCATGTCTTATAAAAATCTGAGTTAATCCGTGTACATCCACATTGGCTTTCCAGCTGACCCATTTCTATTGGTGTCTTTAAAATTTTCTGATACCTTCCTCAACAGAATTATCAATGCAATCAGAGCCCCCTTGTGCTTTCTTGGAACCTTTTGAAATGTAGGACATATCTCAGACCATGTTTAAGATTACCTTTTTCTCCATTTTGAACCTTGTGATGAAGGGGTCACTGTTATTTCTACTTTAGCAATGAGTTCTACCATGTGCAACAGAATCAGGCTGAGAACAGCAATTTCCTTGTTGTTTCCTCCATCTTTTGAAGAATAAAGTTCTCATTGAGACAAGTCACAAGTTTATCAGTTGAGCAGATGTCTAACCCTTTGACCTGGCAATAGCACTTCTAGGGCTATATCCCAAAGAGATCATACAAATAGGAAAAGGACCCACATGTACAAAAATACTCATAGCAGCCCTTTTTGTGGTGGCAAAGAATTGGAAATTGAGAGGATGCCCATCAATTGGGGAATGGCTGAGCAAGTTGTGGTATATGAATGTAATGGAATACTATTGTGCTATAAGAAATGATGAACAGGCTGACTTCAGAAAAACCTGGAAAGTCTTGTATGGTCTGATGCTGAGTGAAGTGAGCAGAACCAAGAGAACGTTGTACACAATAACAGCCGTGTTGTGTGATGACTAATATTGATAAACAACCCTTCCCAGCAATACAAGGATTTAAGACATCCCCAGAGGCCTTGTGATGGAAAATGCTATCCACATCCAAAGAAAGAACTATGAAAGTTGAATTGCTATTGTTTTCTCTTCTGTTGAGTTTTGTTTCCTCTTTCTGATGGTTCCTCCTATTGGTTTTAATTTTTACTTACAATAGCACTAATGTGAAAATATATTTAATAGGAACGTAAATATATAGCCTATATCAGATTGTGTGCTGTCTTGGGGAAGGTGGTGGGGAGGAAGGGGGAGAAAAGTTTTAAGCTCAAAAGTGTATGGAAGTGATTATTGATAAATCAAAATAAATTAATAACAAAATTAAAATAAGCAGATATCTAGATGTCATACCTCTTTGCCAGGCTTATATGTTTCCTGAGCTCTTCGTCTAATTCCTTCTTCTATTTAGATGGTCTGTAGTATACTTCCACAACATTAACTACGATGACAATATCATTTCTATTTATGAGGACACTTTTCTCCTCTCCTTCCTTTTCAGTCTTAACAGAAATCTTAACTCCTAAGTTGTTAGAGCAGGAAGAGGGGCTTTTAGAGATCATCATCTCATTTTACAGATGAGGGAACTGAGTCACAGAGAGGGAAAGTGACTTGCCCAAAGCCACATGACTAGAAAGTGCCAATATTTTGATGCAATTCATAGATGCCAATCCATGGTGGGGGGCAGGATAGGTAGAAGGTAAAAGAGGAAGCATTTCAGGAAGAAGGAACAGAAACTTAGAGGTAAGAAGTTTAAGTTCATCCAGGGAGCAGATGGAGATAGATAGATAGATAGATAGATAGATAGATAGACAGACAGACAGATATAGACAGATGATAGATATATAGACTGACAGATGATAGATAGATAGATAGATAGATAGATAGATAGATAGATAGATAGATAGATGACAGATAGATGATAGGCAGGTAGATAGGTAGACATCAATAATCAATCAATAGATATCAATAGATAGATGATAGATACATATATAATGAATTTCTCTATGTGCCATCTTCTTCTAAGTGCCATGTACTGTGCTAAGTACTGGGGATATAGATAAAAGAAGCAAGCCAATCCCTGCCCTCAAAGAACTTACGTTCTATTAGGAAAGCCAACATATAAAAGGAAGCTGGAGAAGGAAGGGGAAAATATACATAGTTTGGCTGGAGATGTCCAGAAATTGCTGTGAAATGATGACCAGGTCCACTATATAAGTGTAGGTGAGAAGAATGAGATAAATTAGATTATGGTGGGACTTGTAGATCCGGCTGAGGAATTCATACTTTACTCAGCAGGGAACAGGCAGCCCCTAAATGTTCTTCCCTAATCCCTCCCCAACTCCCACCCAGTTAGTCTGAATCAGCCTGGCTGTCTCCCAGTGTCCTTTCTGCTGCAAACGGTGAGCTCCCAGAGCAGGCATCAACCTAGTTATCTGAGGTCTCGGAAATGACTCTACCACCAGCTGCCACTCTACTCTCTCTGATTGTCAGGGCTCCTTTTCCCTCAGGGTGTCTCTGCGGGGGGGGGGGGGGGGGGGGGGGAGGCGGGGAGTTAACAGTTACAGCTGTGGACCTAGGACCTGGCGCTCCCTGCACAAAATATCTGACCTTCCCATTTGCAGCTTGGCCTGGAGCGTTTCCACAGCATCGCCATTCTCGGATTCAACTCCACGGAGTGGTTCATCTCTGCTGTGGGCACAGTCTTTGCTGGGTAAGCGGCTGCTGGTCAGGGTCTTGCCTAGGTTTGGGTGCACAAGTGTGGGAATGAGCATCCCACAGGCATAGGCAGAGTGGTGTGGCTCTGGTGTCTTTTGGGAATCTTTAATTCTGCTCATCAATCGCTTCACTGGAGGGAGAGGAGGAGGAGAGACAGAGACAGAGAGACATAGACAGAGAGATAGAAGAGAGAGAGAGGAGAGAGAGAAAGAGAGAGAGAAATGATAGGTAGACAAATGACAGATAAAAGATAGATACATAGATGATAGATGGGCAGATAGAGAGAGAGAGAACATTTATTATATTTCTATAGAATAGACCAATAATTAATTATTCTTATTTATTATTAAGTACTTCCTACATTAAGTCCTAGGTACGTAAGTATAAGTAAGCAATATAGTCCCTGCCAATGAGGAGCTTACATCCTAATGGGAGAAAGCATCACATAGACACTGGGGTTCCTCCTCCACCTCCCTTTGACTCCTTCTGCCCACCCAACTAATCAGTAAGCACTTATTAAGCACCATTGTGTGCCAGGCTCTGTGCCCCAATGACAAAGTTGAAACAGCCCTCCACCACCTTCTCCCTTCCAACCTCACATCTCTTCTCCTGTCCTAAGCATCTACTTGGCCTTATTTTTCCCCTTCTCCTGCTCATCTACCCCTTCTTGGCTCCCTTCCCCACTGCTTTTCTCTTAACTCTCTTTTCTTCTTCTGCCCATCTATTCCATATTTCCCCAATTTTCCTTTTCTTCCCCATCTTTCTGTATTGTGTGCCCCCTTCCCCCACACACAGTTCTCCCTTTCTTTGCCCAGTGGTCTGCCAGTTCCTGGGCATTTTCTTGGCTAGTTCTGAAGAAACGGGGCCTCCCAGGCCCAGCTGACTCCTTCAGTTTACATCCTTTGGGATTTATGCAAGAGACACTAGAGAGTCTGGGGGTCCTGGGCTGACATGCTTCACTGACAAATGTCCTCTCTGTGTCATTTCTCAGAGGTATCCTCACAGGAATCTATACAACCAGCTCCCCTGAAGCTTGCCAATACATTGCCAATGACTGTAAGGCCAACATCATCCTGGTGGATACCCAGAAACAGCTGGAAAAGATACTGAGGGTAAGAGGGTTACTTGGGCTCATGCCCCAAAGAGAATGGTCATCACCACTGTCTTCATAAAACCTGACCTCTCTATAGTGCTACAGTTTACAAAGCACATGAGGTAGGAATGAATTAATGAATCAATGAAAAAGCATGTATTAAATGCTTACTATATGCCCAGCACTAGGCTGAGTGCTAAGGATGTAAATAACATTGATGATGTTTTGGAGCTAGAAGGGACCCAGGAGGGTATCTAGGTCAACGTCCTCTTTTGCAGATGAGGAAACTGAGGCCAGAGTGGTGAAGAGACTCGGCCAAAGGTGCACAGGCAGTGAGTGACAGAGCCAGGATGCAAACCTGCATTCTGATTCCAAAGCCAGAACTCTTCCATTTATGCCATCTTGGTGATCCTCACAATACCTCCATTTTATAGAGGGGAAAGCAAGAGGCTAGAGGGGTGAAGTGTCTTGCACTTAGATCTCCTGACTCCCAGTGTGGGGCTTTCCACCCCATAGCTGCCTACTCTTAACCTGACCAATTTCCCCTTCTAGCACAGAGTTTATGATGACTCTGGACTGGGAAGATGTTCATGGGGATTTAGAAGGGGCATTGAGATTTAGGTAATGCAGACATTGTCTGGGGACTCTGAGTGAGAGATGCCATTGACTAGCAGCTCTGGCCATGAACCTGGAGTCTGGAGGACCTAGGTTCAAATCTTGCCTCAGACTAGGAATTGTGTAATCCTACCTTATTTACCTAATCCCTCTATGCCTCTATGCCTCAAAAATGGAGGGGGGGTGGTTTGGATTCGATCACCTTGAAAGCATCTTCCAACTCTCAACCTATCCTTTGCCGTAATCTCTGGGAACCTCAGGGACAGAAGAACTCTACCTGTCCTGGGAAGGAGTGGAGTTGGGTCCCGCTGACTTTAGGAGATTAGGGAAAAGCCCTGGAAGGGAATTGTGAGGTCATCTACTCCAACCCTCTCATTTAAAGAGGAAGACACCAAATCCCACAGATAAGTAGGTTAGAGGTATGTCTCTAACTTTTTGAGGGTGATATCAATGACTACATCAAAAAGAAGGTACCCTGGCTTAGCCAATAGAGTGCTGGGCTTAATGCCAGAAAGATCTGGGTTCAAATCCCATTTCCAATACTTCCTAACTGTGTGGCCCTGGGCAAGTCATTTCACCTCTGATCCTCAGTTTCCTCAACTACAAAATGGGGATAATACAAAATGGGGATAATGATACATAGAGCATTTACCTGTGAGGATTGAATGAGGTAAAGGATGTAAAAATCTTTGCCAACTTGAAAGACAACAACAGAGTCTTGGACCCCAGAAGGAGATGAAGGTTGGTTTCATGTCCCTGTGATATTTAGATAATTAGTCTTGGGACTGGAAGAGGGGTATCCAGTGTTTGGTCTTCATTTGGCTAGCTTTAGCTGGGCGGGCCTTCTCCTGTTGGGAAGAACCAGGAAGGGAAAGGATAGACAGAGAAATCTTGCCATCTTGTGGTGAGACAACAAATCTTCACTCTTCACCGGCAATCATCAGCTGAAGGTTGGACTTGTCCCACAATCTGTCCTGACTCTCAGCCTCTGCAGGGGACCCTCAGTAGATTTTTCAGCCATGATGTCATCACTTGTTAGAGGGTGGAAGGGACTTTAGAACGGAGATTTGTAGCAACTCACATTTCTATAGGAACAGTTCGCTTCTACTTGATTTTTAGGGTTACAAAGCACTTTGTCCAATGTGGGAACATGGAGATGTCACAGCTGGAAGCGTTTTTAGGGTATAGAATGTGAAATCATAGACCCTAGAATGTTAGTGCTGAAAGAGACCTTGGAGGTTATCTAGTCCAAAATCCTCTTCACAGAGAGGGAAACTGAGGCGCAGACAGAGGGACGTGATCGTTGCTCACTGTTGGCTCATATGACGTGTACAGTCCAGTAAGACAAAAATGGAGACAGTGACTGCCTTTGAGGCGCTTGCGTTTCATTGAGGAATAAAGTAGCAGTTGAAAAAGTTGGGTGGGGTTGACTTTTCTTATAGAATCATAATACCGAGTAAATGAAAACTTTACATAACAAGCTTCAACAAGGTTGAAACCAAACCTTACATAACATAAAGTAGCTCGGTTTTGTTTACCCAATTTATTTCCTAGGTGATTTTTCAATTTGGGGGATGTGTGGGAATATTCAATCATCCCTTGTAGCTATAAATTCTATAATCCTAAGTACTACAAAAGAAAGAGCTGAGTGATCAGGGTACTGTGACCCTTGACCCAGTAGGGAAGATCTCAGAAAGGGTTGTCAAAGATGCAGGTGTTGGGGGGCAGCTAGGTGGCACAGTGGATAAAACACCAGCCCTGTAGTCAGGAGGACCTGAGTTCAAATCCGACCTCAGACACATAACACTTACTAGCTGTGTGACTCTGGGCAAGTCACTTAACCTCAGTTGCCTCACCAAAAAAAAAAAAAAAAGATATGGATGTTGCTAAGCCCTGAGACACAGTCCCTTGGTTGGTGCTTTCTATGCCAGAGACCTTAGGCCGTTCCTAGCATAGCCTGGAACCCAAGACTTCCCAGAAACATACACAACATGAGAGAAAGCGACCCAGCAGACCCCAGGGTTGAGCTGCTCAGTTACAGAAGTCTTATCCAGCTTTGTCTTGGCCTCCTTTGACAGCCAACATTGCTAAGACAATCTGATAACGAGTCAACCTAGGGCACCAGCAGAGACATTTGGACTCGACTGCTCTTTCATCTGCCGCTTGAAATTCAGACTTGGATCTGGGTATCTACGTCCCCTTTTCCTAACATTGCATTATTGGAGGAAATGAAGTCACCAACCCAACACTCTTTACCATTCTCCCATTGAAACCCAAACTTGCTGGACGTGAATGAACAAGTGGCTCTTTAAGAGGGCTAAGTCAACAAGCCTTCACTGAAATCATTCTCTGAGGTCTCCTGAAAGCTATAGCATGTCCTAACCTGGAACACTGAGCACTGACTGGTGATGGGCTGTGTGTCCGTCATCCAAGGACAATTTTAGAGAAGAGTAATAATAACAATGGTCATTTTCCATACTGCTTTAAAGTTTGTAACATGCTTTGTATATTGGCCTCTCACACAACTCCTCCCTCTCAGGTTAAGTGCCAGGACTATTCTCATCTTGCAGATGAGGAAACTGAGGCTGAGAGTTTCTTGGTAGTTGCCTGGGGTGACATAGCTGATGAGTGTTAGAGACAGGATTTGACCCTGGGTCTTCTTAAGTTCACATCCAGTACCCAATCCTCTTTGCTATCCTTCCTCTCATCACCTCAGGATGATGGATTTAGGTGATGAATTTGGGGGGGGGGGTTGAGGGGGAGGCTAGGCAATGGGGTTAAGTGACTTGTCCAAGGTCACCTAGCTAGTAAGTGTTAAGTGTCTGAGGCTGGATTTGAACTCAGGTCCTCCTGATTCCAAGGCCAGAGCTCTATTCACTGCACCACCTAGCTGCCCCCAGTGATGAATTTTTTGGCCAAGCAGCTCAGGGAGCTATTGAGTAAGATACAGCAGAGCTATGATGGACAGAGGAGTGAGAGCCTTCACCTGTGACATCAGGGATATTTGAAACTAAGAAATGAGGACCCTAACTCTTTCCAAACAGTTAAACAAAAATTACTTTTTTCTTGCCTAATAATATCTGTTTTTCAAATGCCACAGATCTGGAAGAACTTGCCATACTTGAAGGCTGTTGTGATGTATAGAGAGACCCCGGCAGAGAGAATTCCAAACGTATATACGGTATGAGACTTGAGGCTAAGAAAGAGGGATTCTGGGACTGGCTCTTGGGGGGCAGCGGCGGCACCTGCCTTTTTAATTCAATACATTATAAAAAAGCATTTATTAAGTACCTACTGTGCACCAGGCACTGTACTAGGAGGTGAGCCTACAGAGACAAAAATAAGCCGAGCTCCTATTCTCAAGGAGCTTACGTTTCACTGAGGGAAATGACATCTGCAGAGGTAAAAAAAAAAAATACAAAATATACAAGATGCCACTGCCTCCATCTCTCAGGCTGGAAAAGCCAAAGCTCAGGACCTGCTCTCAGAAAACTGTGGGCAAGAATACATAGCTCCCATGTGCTTCTGCTCCTAGGCAGCAATTTCCAGCTCCTTTAGGGCATTGAAAACAGGAATGAGTCAGCATCTCATGCAGGTTGAACCTTTTCTTTAGCTGGTAACTCCTGACTCCCACTTCTCTTTTCCTATCTATAGATGGAAGAGTTCCTAGAGACAGGGAATGAGGTTCCTGACTCCACTCTGGATGACATTCTCAACTCTCAAAAACCCAACCAGTGCTGTGTGCTCGTCTACACATCTGGTACCACCGGCAACCCCAAAGGCGTGATGCTGAGTCAGGACAATGTAAGGTCCTGGGGACTGAAATGTGGTAGGGACAGGGGGTGGGGAATGGAGGAGGGGGTTATGGAAGGAGGGATAAGAGAAGACGCTGGGACCTTCTCACTGGGTAAGAAGGGAGATGCATGCGGAGATTTGGTAACTGAGTGAAGACATCAGAAGTGGGATGTTTCTTTGGCTTCCTCTGAGGGTCCACGGACCTCCTGTCCCAAAGGGAAGGCTCTCTTGGGCCTGTGGCCAGGCCCCTGTAGGGGCCCATTCTTTTCACAGACCCCTCTACTATAGGGAAACGGAGTCACGTCAAGAAGCATTTTGTTAGTTCCTACTACATCCAGGCACGCCCAGCCATCAAGGCGCTCGCAGTCTGACAGGGCAGACGTCATGTACAAGCAAGCTATATACAGGAGAACCTAGAAAAAAAACTTAGAGGGAAGGAGCCAGCATGAAGAGGGACTGGGAAAGGTTTCTTGCAGAAGGTGAGATTTTAGCTGAAACTTGAAGGAAGCCAGGAGATAGGAGATAGGGCTCTATTCAGAGGATGCTCTTACTCTTTGAGGAAGACATGTACCTTGACACTGAAATAATATCATCAATAATGTAATTTTTGAAATTGTAATTATAACAATTAAGGTAATTTTTCAACTAGAACATGTATTTAGCACCTACTATGTACAGAGCACTAACCTGCATGCTAGGCAAGATAAAAAGTTTAGATAAAATATTGTCCCTGCTCTCATGAACAGATATCACAAATAATTAAAAAAAAAAACCACATGATTAATACACAGAAGAGGTACAAGCTGAGTGCTGGGCGAGGTCTGGTGGGAGGTAGGGGTGTCTATAAATAAAATATTGATGAATCAAATATCAGAGCTGTGCCTTTCAGGAGCAAACAGATACGGTCTTTGAGGAAGACATAATTATCTGTCAGCCAAGTGAGAGCTGGCCCAGGCGAGGTAACTGGGAGCTGTCCAGCTGATGGGAACATCTAGCCACAGAGATTTTCAAAGCCATTGACTTAGGTGTTAAAAGGATCCTATTTGCCCAAGGGGAGGGAATCCCTATAATGATGAACTCCCACTGCCCTGAAATATTGGAGTATAAGCATGACAATTATAATCATACTACCATCTTAAAGACTTGCTCCTCCCAGAAATCAAGTGAGGCAGAATAGCCAGGGGTTAATTACTCCCATTTTACAGAAGAAGAAATTGAGGCTTAGAGAACCTCTGGACCTTCGTGCCCTTATCTCTCCTCTGTCTCCCAGATCACTTGGACAGCCAAGTTTGGCAGCCGAGCTGGGGACATCCAGCCTGCTGAGATTCAGCAAGAGATTGTGGTGAGTTACCTGCCCCTCAGCCACATCGCTGCTCAGATGTATGACCTTTGGACAGGAATCCAGTGGGGGGCCAACGTTTGCTTTGCTGAGCCTGACGCCCTGAAGGTCAGTCTGCTCCTGTCTTCTCTTGGGTCTGTGAATGTCTCATGTGGTTGTGCTGATTCTCAAGGTTGGAGGAAATCTACTGTACTTGAACCTCTAAACTCTTCAGACTCCACTTGTTTTTCTTCTCCTCCTCCTCCTCCTCCTCTCTTTCTCTCTCTCCCTCCCTCCCTCCTTCCATCTCTCTGTCTTTCACTTATCCCTGTGTTCCCCAAATCTTTTCCTCTCATATCCCTACCAGTCTTCCTCATCCCATTTCCCTCATTCACCTCTCTCCTGTCATCTCTCTGCTTCTCATCTTATTGGGGGTGGGGAATTGTGATATATTAGAAAGTGTTGTTAGGTCTGGTGTCAGATGACCTAGGCATAAATACAATCACTCCCTGCCCGTGTGACTTCCTCTGTGGGACCTTTCTCCAACTCTCATCTCACCTGTAATGGAAAGAGCAATGAACTTGGAGTCAGGGGACCTGAGTTCTAATCTTAGATTGACCACTTACTACCTGTATGACCTTGGGAAAGTCTTAATCTCTCTGGGCCTCAGTTTCCCCATTTGTAAAATGAGGGTGGTAGAGCCCTTCCAGCTCTTTCTATGATCCTATGATTCCCTCCATTCTCCATTTGTCTCCCTCTCATTTTGGGGGTCACCGATGGGGCTGAGGGTGGAGAAATGTGCCCTGGAAGAATCCCTGGGTTTAGAGTCAGAAAGACCTGGATCCGAATTTGAGCTTCGCCACTTTTGACCCACGTGACCTCAGACAAATCTGGTCCTCAATTTCCTCTTCCGTAAAAATAACGGACATGGATAGATGACCTGTTAGTTTCCTTTTAGTTCTAAATTTATGTCCCAACCCTCCCTGTGTTTTCCTTGCCCCTCCTTTCACTATCTGGTTGTCTATATCTTTCACTTGGGAGATGTCTGTTTCTGTTCCTAAGAATTACTGGGGGTTGGGAGTTGGGGTGGGGATTGGGCCAGCCCCTAGACATAGCTGCCTTACCAATAAGTATGAGATTGGCAAGGATTGGCCTGGCCAGACCCATACAAGATGCATCTGGGTGTGTGTGGGGAGAGGGGACCAGGGATCAGCCTGCAGAAAAGCAGTGTATATTGGATGTGGAATAAGCTGAGGGGGTAACTCTCCAGGCAAGGTCCTCACTGGGGTGGCCTGGTCCACTTCCGTCACCCAGACTCTCTTCTCCCCTGTCCTTGTTTTCTCATTGACAGACAAGCTTGGTGACTACGCTGAGGGAGGTGGAACCCACTGCCCACATGGGCGTGCCCAGGGTGTGGGAGAAGATCATGGAAGGGGTCAAGGGGGCATCAGCTCAGGCTGGGTTCTTCAAGAGGAAGATGTTCCTGTGGGCAATGTCTGTGACCATGGAACAAAACCTCAGCTGCCCAAGCAGGTATGGTGACTGCTCCCATCCCTCCACTCCCTCCCCTCAGGCAGCCTGGACTCTGGCCTCTGACATCTGGCCTCACACCAGCTGTGGGGCTTCAGACAAGGCCCTTCCCCTCTCTGGGCCAGGTAGGCTCATGGTTGACTTGGAAGCCTCTGTTGATTAGTGGCAGCTAAGTGTCCCTAATAAAGAGCCTTATTTCTTTACACTCCCATCTGAGGTCTTCCTGGATAGGCCTGGGTTACTTTGCTTGGCTCTTTGGGGAATTTGGATGCTTTAAAAAGCCTTGCAGAGTTTGATAGGACAGAGGCCCTGGTCTCAAGGAGCTCATGATCTAATGGAGGTGGGGAGATGGGTACCCAAATAACCATGATAAAGTAGAAGAAAAAGAGTTACCAGGCAAAGGTTCAGGCAAAAGGCCCTAAGAAATCTAAGGAAGGGGAGAGCAATTTGACCTGGGGTTTGGGGAGAGATGGAGATCATAAATTGGACCTTGAAGGAAGGGATGGTGTTAGGGAAGAGTCCATTCCAGGGGTGGGGCATGTCATAAGCAAAGGGATGGGCCTGATGAAGGGCAGGCTGGGAAAAAGAGATGGAGAGTGGTCCGATTTGGCTTAGAGACCAAGAACGTGAATTTGGTTTAATTCAACAAGCAAGTATTAAGTTCCAACAATATGCCAAGCCCTGTATTCGCCAATGGAGGTACAAAGACAGGAACAAAACCCTCCCCAGCTTCAAGAGGCTTACATTCTATTTCAGGGGGAGGGGGAGATGATATACACAGAGAAGTAAATACAGACAAAGTAGTGAGAGAGGGGAGAGAGTTCTGACCACAGGGGTGAGGTAGAGGGGATCAGGGAAGGCTTCCTGTAGGAGGCAGCATCTGAAGTAGCCTTGAATGGCTCTAGGAATTCTCAGAGGCCAAGGTGACAAGGGGAGTGCAGCCTGGTAGGGTGAGATAAATCCAGAAGGATGGGTTTGACCCAGATGAAAATATATGTCAAGTACTGGGCAAGCCTTCAGGTGCTATGTACGTGTTAGCTGTTAGTATTGTGAAGGGCATTGAATGACAGAATTAGGGGGTTAATACCTTATTTGCCAAGCAATGGGGAGCCACCAAGGTTTTCCTGTACAGGACTGATGTGAGCTTAGTGTTAAATTAGGAAGGCTACTTGGTTAACAATGTGAAGCATGAATTGGAAGGGGAGCAGGCCAGTGGCAGGAAGACCATTTAGGAGGTACATACTTAATGCACCTGGCATAATAATTTCCATGTGTATGGCACTTAAAGATACCCAAAATGCTCTCCTCATGATAGCCCTGGGAGGTAGGAAGGTGCTACTGGCATTATTATACTCATTTAATAGATTAGAAAACTGACTCATGAGAAGTGACTCACCCAAGGTCACACAGCACACGTCTCTGTGGGTAGACTTGTCTTCTTGTCAGGGTCCTGTGAGGGTAGACCCATGTGATACATCTGCACGTGTGTGACCATGTGTTCACCAGCTAGGTTGTCATGAAAACATGCTCGCATTGATATGTCCATGTGTGTTTTTCCCCCTGGCAACCAGTGACCTGAAACCTTTCACCATGAGACTGGCTGACTACTTGGTTCTGGCCAAGATCCGCAAGGCCCTGGGATTTGCCAACTGCCAGAAGAATTTCTATGGCGCGGCCCCGATGACCGCAGAGACCCTGCATTTCTTCCTGGGCCTCAACATCCGCCTTTATTCGGCCTACGGGCTGAGCGAATCCTCAGGCCCACACTTCATGTCCAGCTCCTACAACTACAGACTTTACAGGTGAGGACCCTGCGAGCAGCCCTCATGTCTGGGGCCCTCACAGCTGCCCCCACTTTACAGATGAGAAAACTGAGGCCCTCAGAAGTTAGGTAACCTGCTCAAGGCCACACAGCCAGTTAGGAGTCTGAGGGAGGATCCACAGAAGCATGGATCTAGACGTGGAAGGCATCTGAGAGGCCATCAACATTCACCCTTCTCCATTATACAGACGAGGAAACTAGAGGTTAAGCAATTTGCCTCAGTCACACAGGTAATAAGTAGGGGTAGCTAGGCGGCACAGTGGATAGAGCACCAGCACTAGAGTCAGGAGGAGCTGAGTTCAAATCTGGCCTCAGACACTCGACACTTACTAGTTATGTGACCCTGGGCAAGTCACTTAACCCCATTGCCTAGCCAAAAATGAATAAATAAACAAACACAGGTAATAAGTAGCAGAGCCGGGATTTGAACCCAGGTCATCTGAGTGCAAACCCACCTCTCTTACCCCATATTATGTCTTGGCGACAGCTGCTGCCTTCCTGCCCCACAGTTCAGCTACCCTGCCTCCTTGATTATAGTTAACACTAGCTGGAGTTGTGGTTCCCGCCACAGACTGACCCAATATCATCTTCTCCCCACTCACTGGACTGCCAAAAGTTTCATTACCAGGGTTTCATTTCTTTGGACTTTACTTTCTGGGGATTGATAAGATATCTGTGAAAATGAAAGTACTCCTGGACAGGGTTCCCTTTGTATTACTGGCCATTACCATTCCATTTGGGGTTCATTGGTGGCCATCCATGACCAAGGTAACTGTGGGCACGGCAGGCAGAAAGGACAGGGGAGCCAAGCAGGGCAAAGCTAAAGGATGAAGAGGATAGGGTGGCAAATACAATCCCCCCACGTTTACTTGAATTGGCCCGGGGGCCAGAGGCCAGGGATGCCAGAGCTGAAGGGGACACCACATTGTCAAGAAGGTAGTCCTCTGCCACTCTGCTCATCACCGCTGTCTCCTCACAGCTCTGGAAAGGCGTTGCCAGGCTGCAAGGCAAAGCTGGTGAACGTAGATGCTGAAGGCAATGGGGAGGTCTGTCTGTGGGGCCGGACTGTCTTCATGGGCTACCTCAACATGGAGGAGAAGACAAGAGAGGCCATAGATGAAGATGGCTGGCTGCACACAGGAGACATGGGGAAACTAGACAATGAAGGCTTTCTCTATATCACTGGGAGACTTAAAGGTAAGACCTTCCTTCAAATGTTTAGTGGGCATCGGTGCAAGGAGCTGAGTGGGAAAGGTGGGAGAAGAGTGGGTGAGATCCACGGGCTGAAGTGAATTGAGTAAGGCTTCACGATGTGAGGCAGGACACGAGCTGGGCCTCAAAGGACAGAATAGATTGAGGTGGGGGAAAGAAAGGGCAGGTTCCATCTCAGTACTACATGACCATCAGCAGCAGAAAGGAAGTACAGGAGGGACAGAAGGAGAGATAGATAGAGATTGAAGTCTCCTGTTGTGAACCTGACAGCTGAAGTGATAATCTTCACCAAGGGAGAGATTGTGGAGGAAGGAAGGGATTGAGCCCAGAGCCAAGGAGATCATCCACTTTCAGAGCTGAAGAAAGGGATGAGAAACCTTTGAAAGAAGAGGACAAGGAGCAGTAAGGGAATAACAGCAGACATTTATAGACTACTTTGAGGCATTGGGCATGAAAACATTTCCCAAAAGTTTTTCGGTGAAAGAGAGAAAGGAGGGGCAGCTAGGTGACACAGTGGATAGAGCACCGACCCTGGATTCAGGAGGACCCGAGTTCAAATCGGGCCTCAGACACATAACACTTACTAGCTATGTGCCTCTGGGCAAGTCACTTAACCCCACTGCCTAGCCAAAAAAAAAAAAGAAAAGAGAGAGAGAGAAAAGAGATTGGAAGATGACAAAATAAAATGGAGGGGAAGTTTTAGGAGATATTTGAGCCCATCTATAGCTGAGCAGAAGCCCGTGAAAAGGAAGAGATAGTGGATGACTTAGAGAAAGGGGATTTGGGATGGAAGGCCACCTGACTCGCTGTGGGTTGAGGTCCCTCACCCAACTGGGAACGCCCATCCAGTGAAGACGGGTGGGGCGATCTCCTGTTGTTGTTCTGCAGACTTGATTGTAACAGCTGGAGGGGAGAATGTGCCCCCCTTTCCCATTGAGGAGGCCGTGAAGATGGAGCTCCCCATCATTAGCAATGCCATGTTGATTGGGGACCAGAGGAAGTTTCTGTCCATGTTGCTGACTCTGAAGGTATCTCGTAATAATAACAGCTAATGTTAATATAGTGCTTTTAGATGTGCAAAGTGGCTACAAATATCATATCATGTGATCCTCACAACAATGGGGGGACAGGGAGTAGAAGTATTATTATTCCCATCTTAAGGCTGAAAAATACTGAGGCTGAAAGAGGTTAGATGACTTACCGGGGACACACACTGGGGTCTGCTGGTAAATGCGGAACAAGCAGCTTTTTGAAAATGCATGGCATGCTTTTAAATTTAACCTGTTTTATCACCATTTTCTCCATCACTTTCTTAAATCTAAATAATCAACAAAATAATAAAGCGAGCCCTGATTTGTTGTGTGTGCGATTTCCAAGGTGGAGAGGCTCAAACTGAACATTTAACCATCCCCTTTGGCACAGTTGGCAAATGCCCGAAGCAGGATTCAAACCCAGGTTTTCCTGACCCCCAGACCAGTGCACTAACTACTATACCCTGTTGTCTCTCAAAATGAAGGGGTTGGGGCTGCGAGGGGGTGCAGTGGATAGAGCATTGGCCCTAGAGTCAAGAAGACTTGAGTTCAAATCCGGCCTCAGACATTTGACACTAGCTGTGTGACCCCAGGCAAGTCACAACCCTAACTGCCTCACAAAAAAAGGAAAAAAAAGAGGCGGGGTTAGAGCAGGAAAGTAAAGCCCAAGGAAGTTAGGACTTTGTCCAGAGTCTCACTTTGCACCCAGAGCTGGCAGATGGAGACTCTTGTTCGTGGAAGTCAGGGGTCCTAAGTCACTGGATTGCAGAACACATGTGAGGCATAAGACATGTGGGGAGGGTGCAGGTTATGAAAGGCTTTGAATGCCACACACAGATGACAGAATGAAGGTACTAGTCAGCCTGATAGTCAAATTTACCTTAAATCATCAACAAAGTAGATAAAACATACATGCTTTGAACATAATTGAGGCTTATGACTTTTTAACTCAATCACAAGCACAGTTAACCAAGGACTGGCCAGATGCATTTACCATATTTCCACATAGGGCCATAGGTCTAAGAGCTGGCAGGGACCTCAGCACCTGTGAGCCCACTTCCCCATTTCCTTGAGGAAACTGAGGCCCAGGGAAGATAATAAGGCACTTCTCCTGGGTCACCCAAGCCCTAAGCATCAGAGGCAGGATGTGAATGCAGCTAACCTGAGTCTAGTCTTTCCATCAACCCATGCTGCTTCCTTTATGTTTGAAGGGCATCCAAATAGTGATTCCAGCCAGCCATCCAGCCATCCCCAGTGATCACTCCCATGATTGACCACAGGCTCTCCTTGAAATCCAGAGAGCTGGAAAGTGTGGGTGGGGGGGCCTGTGAAAACACTTCTCCAAGGAGAGCAGGAAGAGTGGTCCTTGGGTGATGGAACAGCTTTGTCTCGGGTGGTTATGCTAGTCTTCGTCCCTTATGCCCCCTAGGGTAGAAGCTTTGTGGTAGTAGTTGCTGTTCAATCATCTTCAGTAGTGTCCAACTCTTTGTGACCCTGTTTGGGGTCTTCTTGGCAAAGATACTGGAGTGGTTTGCCATTTCCTTCTCTATATCATATTACAGAAGAGGAAACTGAGGCAAACAGGGTTAAATGACTTGCCTAGGGTCACATAGCCTGTAAGTGACTGAGGTAGAAAATGAGTCTTCCTAACCCCCGACCTGGCGCTCTCGCCACTGGGCCACCTAGCAGCGGCACTACCTAAAATAATAACAACAGATACTAGCAGAGGGTTTAGTGAAGGCTTGCCGAGCACTTTCCTCCCAGCAGTAGGGAGTTGCGTCGGTATTGTTATCCCTGTTTTATGGAGGAGGAAATGGAGGTGTCTGAGGCAAGGTTACACAGTACGAGCTGCCAGCTCTTCCTGCTTTGACAGACAGCCTCACAGAACACCGGCTCCAGGAAGAGATGAGTCACTCACATAACAACTGTTTCTTGGATGGGTCACGTAGGGACAGGTTCTGTGATCCACCTGATCTCTGCCTCGCGGCTTCCCTTAAGGCTCAGCCCAACCTTCTTCAAGAAACCTTTCTCAGCACTCCTTAATCTTTGTGCCCTCCCCTGGCATCATCTCCAGTGGAGCCTGTCCACAGCTGCTTACTTCTTGTTGTCTCCATTAGACAGAGAGCTCCCGGAGGGCAGGGACTGGCTTTTACCTTTTTGTGTATCCTGGCCGCTTCGCATAGCATCTGGCACACAGCTGGTAATTAATAAATGCTAGCTGAGTGACTGATTCAGTAAGAAACGATATTAAGGATTCTGGGCAGACACAGTAACACCAAGATTTTTCTATTCTCAGTGTCTACAGGCATTGTGATTACACATCATATCAGAGATATTTCTATTTACAACATGTATCTACTTGCGTGTATTTATATTTATTATATATTTATTATGATTATGTTTATTTATATTTACATATGATACCTATGATAGAGAGGGAGCCTCTGTATTATATTTATATATAGGATAAGGATAAGGGTTTGGACCTGAGATTTCATCAACAGAGGGAAATTCCAGATGAGGAAATTCCCTCTGCCAATGTAGGTCAGCACCAACTCTGAGATTTACAGTCTTAAAAGCACTATATAAAATGGGAATGATATCTTCATCATAGGGTTGTTGGAACCATCCAAAGGGATAATAGTTGCAAGGCACCTAGTAAACCTCAGGGCAATATAAATGCCAGTTGTTGTTAAAGCATTTTATAGCTTACAAAGGACTTTACAATCATTATTTCATTTTCCAACAGGCTGGTAAGGTAGGTAATATCCTGTTCCTACTCCTATTTTCAGATGAGCAAACTGAGCCCCACAGGGGTGATGGGTCTTGCACAGGGACATGCAGCTAGGAAATGACATTGATAAGATCCAAGACCCAGATGTCCTAATTCCCAAGCCCAACGCTCTTTCAACTGTCAAAGATACTTCATCTGGCTCAATCCCTTAATTTTACAGAAGAGGAAACTGAGGCTGAAACTTGGATAGAGTCACATAAGAGTTAGCAGACTAGTCTACATGTAAGAGTAGAGCCAGGGTTAGAACCCAAGTCTCCTGGTTCCTAGCCCTTTACTCCTTCCACTATATATATATTTAGACTAATCCTAAGATACCTAGCCTGGAAATTTGGGGAATTTGGGATGATTGTCCCAGAGAGTCCTATCTTCCTCCATTATTATTCAGAGTAGCAAGGTGTTTATTGAGATTATTGGGCCTGGGGGTTTCTAAGCATACCTTAGCACTCACCTTCCAAACACTGGCATTTCAGTGCACTCTAGATCCAGAGACCTCAGATCCGACGGATTATCTCACCGATGAAGCCCTGGAGTTCTGCCAGAAGGTTGGCAGCAAAGCCACCAAAGTGTCTGAGATAGTAGGCAGAAAAGATGAGGCCATATACCAGGCAATTGAAGAAGGCATCCGGAAAGTCAATGAGAAAGCTGCTGCCCAACCTTACCGCATCCAGAAGTGGACCCTCCTGGAAAGGGATTTTTCCATTTCTGGGGGAGAATTTGGTAGGTTCTCTCTTGTGCTATGCTGCAGCCACTAGGGCTAGGGAAAACTATTAAGCTGGGCTCTTGGAAAAAAGGCCAAGTTTGATCGACATAAGCATGAATTTTAGGAGCAGCACACTTGACCCTGCCTTCCCTCCTACATGGCCTACTGTGTCATAATGGCAACTTCTACGGGGCTGGCAACTAACACCCCAACGTCTTTTCCTAAATTGCTTGCGTCTCCCTCCATCTTGGCCCTGTGAAGTTGGGTTTTTTGAACCTAAAAGTCCAAGGGATTTTGCATTTATCCCTATACAATTTCATCTTATTAACTTCAGGATGAGGCCAAATTGTTTTTGGAGCCAAGGATTCTGGTAGCACAAATCCTAGCTCAGTCTAGTGTGCATATGCTCTCACTGACAGCTTTTCACATTCACTGAAACACTGGATGAAGATGAAGAATCATCTGCACTCCTGCACTGTCCGATATAAGCAAAACCAAACACAAGGAGACAGTGTTCTAGGCAACTCCCTGATGTCCAACCTGAGCCCTGACCAGATTGAATTAGATTGGGCTCCTGGGGATTCCCTTCAATAACAATAGCTCATATTTCCATAGCACTTCAAGGCTACAAACTCCCTGATATGCAGGCAGAGCAACATTTATTGTTCCCTTTTTCACAGAAGAGGAAACTGAGGCTCAGAGAGAAGTGACTTGCTCAAGGTCACACAATTAGTGTCAGATCCAGGATTCAAATCCAGGTCCTTCTGGCTCTATGCCTTGAAAGTCAGAGAAATGAAGTGAAATGAACTAGAATGGATCTTGATGAGACACTGAGTCTAGCCCCAGCTGAGATCTTGATTCAATGGTTGCCTCCAAACGCAGTTTTCATGTAGTTCACAGCATTAGGAAGAAAAAGAGGCCAAGAATGATGGATTTGGAGTCAGGAGGCCTGAGTGTGAAACCTGGCTCTCCTTACCATGAGACCCTGGACAAGTTAACACTCTTCCTGGAGTCTAGATTTGTTTGAGATTTGTGTCCTTCTCTGCTCTAAAGTATACAATAATAATAGCTACCACTTATACAAAGCACTTTACATGTATTAACTCATTTAATTGGATCCTCCCGCAAGCCCTGGGGACTGTGATTATCCTCTAGTCCACCCCTCCCCTCTTCCCATCTGAGGATGTCACATGCATAAGCAAATGAATTCTTGGGAGCCCAGAATACCTAGAGGACCCCATTCTATCCCCGATCTTTCCAGCATAAACACAGGAGGTTATAAGACAAGCTGACAGCACAATGCCAGATGCCTATTTGTTTTGTTTTGCCTCCCTACCATGTAGATGAATTAATTTATTCACGTTCTAAAAACTGGTTCTAGTTACAGGAGCATCCTTGCTCTGCCCTATCTTGTCCCTGTCAGAGAGATCGGGGTCCCCTGGTTACTGCCTACCAGGTCACTCTGCTGCTGTGGTTGGTCACCTTTTACTTGGCATTTGGGGCTCAAGTGCTTGTTCTGATTTGTCTTTCAGGTCCTACAATGAAACTGAAGCGCTCAGCAGTTCTTGAAAAGTACAAAGAAGAAATTGAATCATTTTACAAAGAACCAAACAATTAATCAGGGCTTTTTTATAGTCTCTACCGAGCAGATGCTTTGGGTTCTTCTCCCCTGAGAATCAGGCCATCTTAAAGCAGGGGCACAGAAAGAATCTCCAACAAATCTGTTAGAACTCCAGGAATGATGGCGATTCAGGCTGGCCACAGCTGTCAGGCCACATGTAGCTCTGCAGCTGAACACCAGAAAGGGGCAAGCTTGCACTTGTAGATACTTACTTTGAATTCTATGTGATTATATTTGTTACCCCTAACAAATGCACCCAGCGTAACCCCTCCACCTTCCTGATCATCTTCAGGCTTCTTGGACTAATTCCTGTTAGATTTGATGAGCTTCAAATCAAGGCAGCAGAGAGAGGAAAGGCAGGCTGCTGCCTGTCCTGTTGTGGAAGTGATTTATGACCAACACATGAAATGTCAGGGAGAGTAGATCTGCTTAACTGCCAAGTACAATGGCTTTCCACCTGCACTTGGTCTGAAAGTGCCAGTCATCAAGGACTGATGTTACCACGGTTATGGCGCTTGCCTACGCCCTAGCACTTAATGAAGCTGCTGACATCTTTCTGATGGTCACAATTAAATAAACTTGAACACTAAACAAAGCTTTCAAGGGGACTAAGTATCTGAATGCACTCACAGTTGGCGAATAACAGCTAATCTAGCCCTCCCACCCTTCATGCGGCCTCCTCTACATTTCTGAAAAGATTATCTGCCAGACAGAACGTTACTCATTTTCCAAACTACTGAAGTTACACTCTGCTTGGGGGTCTGAAAAATTCTGCATAAAGTACATAACTTCCAAAGCACAGGGAGAAAAACAGTAATGACCCTGGCTACCCAATGTTCGATTCAACACAGGTAGCTAGTGTAGAAAATATAGACAGAATACATGAAAAGTACGGTCTGGTTACCTGGTTGAGTAGCTTCTCCAATGCTGGCTCTTCTACACTAGTTAGGCGTATTTTAGGAACAAGCTAGGCCCAAAGGATTCAAGTGCTAGGAAAGCAATTCGTCTTTGCACGGAACACGTGTAGAGAAATTCCAGGTATCTTTAACCAGTTTTTAAAATCTTTATTATTTCACTATGCATGAAGCCAACAGGCACTCTTAGAGCTAGCACAATCCAAAAAAAATGCAGCAGCAGCAGCATGAAGAAAAGAGAGTCCCTTCTGAGTGAGCTAAAGCCCTGGCCAGGGGCCTCAGGGAGCCTTCCCCTCACGGCAGGCTAAGGACAGACACAATCACTTTGACTGAGGGTATGATAGGAAATAGCTGCCATCTTGCCCCTACAGGTTCACAGAGATGAGAAAGGAACTGGCCAACTACAGGCCCCAAGCAGGACGCAGCGAGGAGGACTCCCCTAACAAGGGGACTGAATGCTCAGGAGTCAATCTCGTGGGCGTCTCAATGCAGCCTGAGAGCTGACCGCTCCCTCTGGACGGCCCCAGAGCATCGGCAGCACCTGCTCCAGCCGGGACAGCTGGCTCACCAGCAAGGTGACGGTTACAGACACAGCACGCACGACACATCCGATACAGTGACAGCTCCAGAGCTGCTGGGCCAAGGACTTCCAGGTATTCAGCACAACTATGCAGAAAGCTTTACCCACTCAAAACGTAAACATTTCATTCGGGGAACTGCCATCCCTTTTTTTTTTCACTGAAAGCACTAGGATAAGCAAAGAAATATTAAACTATCTTAAAAATACCTCCACACATAACATGTTGGATTAGAATGCTCTCTGTCCTCCATAGACTATCTAGTTTTATAGACAAAAAAATACATCTCTGATTAAATACATCTCGGGTTTGCAGTCTTTATTCATGCATACAATAAATCTTTTGGAGAGCAAATCTCTTTATTTCTTAGCTCACTACACAACTTTAAAATGTATCATCTGTGCCCTCTTTGATGTGACTCTCCCAGGAAATTCCTCTTACACCCGTTTATCTTCATAAGAATCTCATCTTGTGCTATGTTAATATCCTGGCTTTTTTTTCCATTATACTTTACATGCTCCAAGGAAAATAGGGGTTTTCTGTAAAAAGCTGGCTGTTTCTCCTGTTAATTCAGTATCTTGATATTTACAGCAAGTCTTTCAGCTGAGGAAAAAAGCTGTTCTAATTGAAGTGTAAAATGGTTAACAATGGAAAATGACAGGACAGGAATCCATCCTTACAATATAGAAAACACTTTCACCAGAGAGACATTTAATAAATAAAACAATGCATCGAAAAAAGTCCACTGGAAGCAGGCACCAGAGGGTCACTTGCGTCCCTGGGCACAAAGCGTATTAAGAAAAGGCCCAATTTAAAATGTTTGCTCTGTCAAGAAATATGCAAGCCCAATGTCGATGGATGGTAGATAGTCTACAACAGGTTTTTCTCTAGCGTGTCCATTAGGAGTGACTGCTTCCAAGGGCCTAATGGGAGAAGCTTTCTTTAATCGAGGTCTTTTACGCGGCGGCAGATTTCATCCGTGAAGTCTGAGCACTTGGCGTTTCCTCCCAAATCTTTTGTCAAGCTCTGAGAGGAAGGAAAAATGAAAATGAGACGTGCCTAGGTACTCTCCCCACCCACATCACAGCTCTGTGTTTCTAGCAAAACTCTCAATTAGAACAAAAAGGATTCCATTTGGGCAAGGCAACACCTCCCCTCCCTCCCTTTCCGAGTGGGAGGGGACCACACTGACCTCACAGGGGTGTATGAGACAAATAGGAATGAACGGATGTGAACAGTCTTTTAAAAGCATAGAGTTGTCACAACACATCAATTCGAGGGCTCTTAAAACTTTATTCTGGGCACATCAGCCAGGGGCTCAATGAACACTTGGTAAGAAAAGAAGTTTACATGAAAGGTCGTCTAAACAGCTGGGGCTCCAAGGCTTTTCAATAGTGGGCCATATGAATTTAATTACATAATTAGATTTAGCTTCAACCACAAATTCAAAACTGACACCCGGAAGCTAAAGAAGGCAATACAAAAACTAGCAGTAGGCAGGTCATTAAGCCCCACTAGTATGTTCACTAGTTTGGTAGAAAAAACACATTTTTATGAAAAATCTCTGGCAAGCTGTGCCCTGGGTCAGGCAGGCTACGTTAGGGCTCACAGGCCACAGGATGGAAGCCAGGGCTCCAGGGGCTTCTCAGCAATCCCTCATTTACTTTAAGCTGCAATAACTTCGGTTGCTCGGATGAAGCCGACAAGGGCATGAGCTTGAGAGAATCCAATCGAGAGTCACAGGTAAACTCTGCCTTTGCTCCTTGGTTTTTAAGCAAAGTGCCTGGAACAGAGCAAGTGCTTCGTAAATGCTTAAAACTGAACTGAAAGACACCCTGTCGATGCACTCAGCCTGCAACACACAACTAACGATGGCTTGCCCTGAAGCGGCACAAAAGCCCTCCTCATCCTCATTCTCCTAAATAGAGACAAGCTGGGCACAGGGTGCCTGCCAGGGAGAGCTCCAGTGCTGCCCTGAGCCCAGGGCCTCCAGGAAGGACTGGGGGGTTGGGGGAGGAGGAGAGGGGTGAAGGAAAGGGAGGGGAAGGAGAGACAGCCCCTCAGTGGACATGAAGGAGGATCAGGCAGGACAAAAGGTCTGGGAAGAAGGCCGCACACCCCTTCGCTCTCCACAGCTCTCAGAGGAAGCAGAAATAACTGAAACGATCTGCAAACAGCATTCACCACCAAGTTTCTCCAAGTTTAAAAAACCGTGCTGCACAACTGTACACAAGTTCTTACATAAAATCCCATGCTGGATTTGGAATCCGAGAGCTTGGGTTCAAATGGCTGCTTAACAACTATGCTTAACTTCTCTGGGCCCCGATTCCCCAGCCCGTAGAACAAGTCACAGACCATTGCCAGAGCAGAGAGCTGGCCAGAAGCCCCGAGGCCCCAGAGGAGGGAAGTGAGCCTCTGGGACACGGCTGGCCCGGGGCAGGCCAGGGAGATCTCAAAGCCAGGCCATCTGCACCTTCTCCTCAACTGTTTCTGCTTCTCAAAGCGAAGGAGCTGAACTGACTGCAGGCCCTCTGAGACCCATTCTAGCTGCAAATCGCTGATCCTGGGACGACAGAGGAGAAACAAAAACCCTTCGCGCTGCACAAACTCTAAGTCCATACCTGCCGCGGTTTCAGCCCTCCACTGAATGTTTGCAACTGTACATATTTTTGCGACTTAACACAGGGCATTCACAAAGTATTAACATGCATGTTAATACTGGGGTGGTAGACAGTTGGAATGACTGGCTATTGAAACGCACACCAAGAATGGGAAGGAAAGGGAGAGCTCACTCACACCCAGAGAGAGGCTGCAGCTCTCTGTCCATCCTTTGTCCTCAGCCACCTACAATGTCCACCCACAACGGAGTTCTCAAGGAGGTATCTCATGGTCCATCACAACTGACAATGAGTAAGGGATGAATTTTTTCTAAGTTGTGTCTCTCTACTGGGAATCCAGGCAGTGAGTGACTTTTCCAAGAGAGAGAATGGGCCAAGGGAAGGCCCACACCTGGCATTCAGGACACACACATTAGGGACTCCTAAACTTGATTGTGTCTGGCACCCATGGAGAAGTCTGGAGAAACCTAAGGACCCCTTCCTTCTTAGAATTATGTTTTTAAATGATTGAAGTACCGCTAAATTTCTGATAGAGGTCAATGAACATGAACGTGCCCACTTTTTTCCCAGCCAAGTTTATGAACTCCTTGACATCTACTCATAACACCCCTATCCAGATGGCACCAGTAATGGCACACTCTAACTCCACTCAGACAAGGTTTGCCTCTGGTAATGGCCAGGGTGAAAGGCAGTGAGCAGGATTCTCTGGATCAGAACGTACCTTCCCATCTTTAATTGTCGCAAAGCAGGCAGTCTCAATCTTTGCTGCGTAGTCATGCATCCCCATGTGCCGGAGCATCATCACGGCACTCAGAAGCAGGGCAGTGGGATTGGCCATGTCCTTCCCAGCAATGTCTGGGGCTGTTCCATGAACCTGCCAAGAAAGGAAACTATTGATCCTTGGAGAATTGCGAACGAGCCAATACCCACCAAAGCTGCAAGACACAGGAAGTGATACTGAAGAGACAAGCAATCACCCTTCTTTTGGGAAGAATAGCATGACATTGGAAAGAAAGGATTGGCACTAGAGTCAGAAACCCAAGGGTCTGACAGTCCAATGGTCATGGGCAAGTCATGCCTCTCAGCTTCATCTTCTCCCTCTGTAAAATGGGGATAATAACAGCACACTCTGCAAATCCTAATGCCCTCTCTAAATGTGAACTATGATTCCTTTACTCAAGTCTCATCCATTGCCTCCCCTCAGGACCCGAGATGACCATGGCTTTCTAAAGGTTAGGCCAAGGACAGCATGAGCTTCATCAGGTACTGGGGTCTGGCCCAGCTGAAAAGGCTTCAAGAATGGCCCTGGCAACACTGTGTGCTTGCACCATTAAGTTCTGGCCTGACCAAGATGCCAAGAGGCTTGCTGCCAAAGAAGTGAGGGGCCACCAGGTCATGGATTCTTCTTGGTCATGACACGAAGGTGTGGTGATCTGTACCAGTGCAGGCATGTGCACACAATGAAGTTGTAAGTCTTTGGAATCATGATTGTTATGTTATGTTATGTTATGATCGTGTTGTTACCAACAACAAACATTAAGAGGCAATATGGCTCCTCAGACCTCAGGGGCTCTGAATGTGGAGGTGGCAGGGACCTCTGCAGCCACCACCTGGCCTAACCTGCAATGGACCAACAATGCCCATGACCACACCACCAAGCAGGGGGCCAAGGAGCCTGACAAGGAGCAACCTCGTGACTCCCAAGGCAGCCCGTCCCACTGCGGATAAGCCCAAGGGCTGGGAAAGCTTCTCTCCTGACACCAGGCCTAACGTTGCCCTTTTGCACCTGGCTGCCATCATCTGGGGCCCAGAACAAGGCTCAACCCTCTTCCATGTGAAAGCCCTTTAAATTATCTCAAGCTTCATTCTCTGCATTTGTGTCCCCAACAGTCAGCCTAGTGCCTAGCACACTGTAAGGGCTCAATACATGACTGTTGATTGATTCAAGATGACTATCACCCCCGCCCCCCGTTTTCTCTCTTCCAATATAAGCATCAATCAACACTCACCCAGCGTAAACTCAAGTCACTCCACCATCTTGACTATCTTGGCTACCCTCCTTGGAACATCATCGTCTAGTTCGTTAACATCCTTTCCTAAAGGTGGCACCAAGATCTCAACAGTCAAGAAGATCTCAGTCCCAACTATGGCTCGCAATTTAAATATGGGTGTGACAATGGGCACGTCTCTGCTGGGCCTCAGTTTCTTCATATGCAAAATGAGTGTGTTAGACCAAACGGCCTCTAACGTACCTTTATGATGAATATCCACTGTGCTCATTTTTAGTGTGAAAAATACTGGATTTGCAATGACCAGAAATCTGAGTTCAAATCCTGTTCTGATACTCACTCACCTGACATGTGACTGACCACAGAATATGTAATAATACATTATATTATTACCAATTATAATAATAATGTAATATATAATATGATAAAAGGAGAATAATAATAATGAGAACAATAATATCTCTCTCAGGCTGTGGAAAGACAAGCCCCTGGTGTATGGTCGGTGAAGCTGTAAATCAGTACAACCATTTTGGAAAACAATTTGGAAGTATGCAAATAAGTGTTGATACCTTTTGACCCAGCGAGTGTCCTACTAGGCTACAACTCCGTGGAGGTCGCTGAACAAGATCAAAGTTGCCATAAGCACCGAAACATTGGTAGCAGCACCTTTTGTG